TTACACCGAGCTCCTCTGTTGGATCTGCCTGAAGTGCTGTGGGACACTCCTCACCTCTGCACGGGCAATTCATCTCTCCAGAAATTGCCTATCGCTATGAAAAGTGATTTTTTGCAGTTCTCCTGTACTTCCCGTTTCTATCTGGCCATACCCTGGGACTCACACAAGGCCCGCTAGTGAGGTCAGAAGGGCTCCCACGAAGTCACGACCTTACGGAATTAAATGGAATTGCTTGATAGGCACTTGCGATGGAGGGCTGCAGCTGAGGCCACTGCCATTTCAAGCTAAATGGACCCATTGTACGGACCAGTGTAAGGACAAAGGAAATGTGTGGGGCTGTCTCTGCAGCCATCCCAGCAGGAACAGAAACACCTTGCACTTTTATTAAAGTACATTTTCATCTTGTATTGCAATGTAGCTTTTATGTGGGTGAGGGATAGTATACAGACAGCCATCAGCTATGTGTTAACTGTTTATGTTCTTGTTACGGCTTCTGGTGAACAGTGGGCTGTTAGTATTGAGGTGTTGGCAGAGTAAACTGGTTTTTCCACTGTGCAGGGCATGGGCACCCTTAACCCATGGATTGTTCAGGGGTCAACTGTATATCATTTTAATTAAATAATACTTGTTGAAGAACTGATCTTCAGCATTCATTCCATGGTAATTTTCCTGATTCATTGAAAAAAAATTTAATGACCTTTTGAGCTTTCTCTATTAATGACTCCTAGTGAATTTGAGACTGCAAGACACCCAGCCATTCCTGTCTGACCCAGGGAGTATGCACTCTCTGATTATTCAGTAACTGTGACAGTAACAAGAAACCACTGTCTGTTGTGATCGCGTGAAAGTAATAAAAACTGCATGGAATTAATAAAAAGGAAACCAAGAGATTCACTTCACGTGTCTGGACCAAAGAGCCAATAGGTTTCTAGTAGCTCCATTCCCTTCCTCTTTCTTTCTAACCTCTGATCGTTTCCCAGTCTCTCCCAATCCATGTCCATCATTTATGGATGAACTACTAGGGAGAAAGAATCTGTTGAAAAATAAGCTGTTGGTTGGGCTCAGCTGGCAATTCCGCTGGACAGGGTCCCCAGTCAGCACAGTCGTGTACAGAGTGCTGTAGGTACTGTGAGCACCTGGAGCAGTGAGGGATGCTTCAGTCTTAAAGGAGGCTCCTCTTGGGCTGCTGACTCCCAAAGCCCACCACTGAGGCATTTTTCAGCAAAGCAAATAGAGAAGGACTTTCTTCTAGTAGAGAGACATTCACACCAAGTCTGTTAGGAATGAAGGGCAGTGGAATTTTCAAAGAACTCTCATAGACTGATATGGCTAGAGTAGTGGTTCTCAACCTGTCGGTCGCGACCCCTTTGGGGGTCGAACGACCCTTTCACAGGGGTTACCCAATTCATAACGGTAGAAAAATAACAGTGATGAAGTAGCAATAATTTTGTAGTTGGGGGACCACCACAACGCGGGGAACTGTATTAAAGGGTGGTGGCATTAGGAAGGTTGCGAACCACTGGGCTAGAGTAAAGGGGGAAGAGGTTGTGCAGGGAACTGTGCCCAGGCAGGTGGCCAGGAGCCAGATGACGAGAGAGCACTCTGCTCTGTGAAGAAGAGAGGCCATTGTCTTCTACCCCGGAAAAGACCCTCAGTGGTCTGAGCAAAGGAATGGCGTAACAGATAACACCTGTTAGAAAGCGAACACGGGCAGCTGTTTGGATCAGAGGGAGGGAGGCAAGCCTCGCGAGGGGAAAGGAATTGGGATGAGGAGGAGGAGATGGCTGCACTGCTCAGGTGAGATGGATCTGAGGGCATGATAGGAGAGAGACCAAGGCTCGTCGGATTCGAGGAGTAGGAGGCCTGCAGGGAATGGTCCGGGGTGACACTGAGATTGGCCTTGATGAGTTGCTGGGAGTCCCCGATTAAGGGGACACAGGAGAAGTAGGAGTGAGGAGTAGAAGAAGCATGAGAATAAACTTATTTATTAGGAGAAACTCTAGTAGGTAATAGATAAATAGCCTTGAGACAGATTGGGAAATGGACAGTATGTCAGTGATAATTGTATCTCTCAGTTTCTTTCCAGGCCTTAGATCAGCGGTTCTCAACCTGTGGGCATCACAGTAGCAAAATGACAGTGATGAAGTAGCAATGAAAATGATTTTATGGTTGGGGGGTCACCACCGTATAAGGAACTGTATGTTGAGAACCACTGCCTTAGCTCTGTGGCTCAGTCAATGCCACAATCTCTCTGGCAAAGCCCGTTGCAGGAGCGGAGTACGAGCAGCGGTCTGTGAAGGGATTCAGTGACCTGATGCAGTTCCTCATTTCATGGTTGTCATCAGTAAATAAGGTGTGACCCCAGTCTCGGGCTGACGCTGAAAAGGAAATAGATTTATTGAATGTCATCTTTGTGTTAGATGCTGCCAAGGAGATTGATTGATTTTTTAATATTGTTAACTAAATATAAGTCAGTAAGTTCATTGAGCCTTGGTAGCATAGTGGTTATGTGTTGGGCTGCGATCCGCATGGTCGGCAGTTCTAAACCACAAGCAACTCTGAGGGAGAAAGACTGGGCTTTCTAGTCCCGTCAACAGTGACAGTCTCAGAAAGCCCCAGGGATCCCTAGGCGTCAGCATTGACTCGTGGCAGTGAATTTGGAAGTTCATTGTACTTTCAGTTCAAGTCGGGGGAAGATATTAAAGTCGAGATGTGTGACAAGGAAGACCAGAGGTCAGGAAATTGGATTCATAGGAAGAGAGCTTTGGACTTGAGTTGGTGATGATGGCAAAGACGACATGTGCTGGAGAAGAGATCCTGACTAGAGAGCGAGATGCGGGATTCCTCAGCGAGCGGCAGAATTGAAACTGGAACAGGGCGGGGAGGGAGTCCCGAGGACGAAGCGGATCCCAGCATGGAGGCCTTGGCAGACACCTGCTTCAGGCTGGGAAAGGGGCAGGTGAGCCAGTGGGAGAACGAGAATGATTGTCTGTCATGCGGCATGGGAGAGAAGAGTTTAAGGAGAGGACTACTGGCAACTGATCACTGGATTCAGTGATGGACACTCACCGTTATTAGCCTCTCTCAGGACCTCCCACTGTCTAAAATGTTAGGAAGTCAGAGTCATTGAGGAAGGGGATGGAGAGGTTCAATAATAACCATTATTATAATTATACACGTGTACTATTACTGTGAGGGGACATTGCGTTGATTCCAGCTCATGGTGAGTGCACGTGGGCAGAGAGAGAGAGGTCGACCTGGTTTTTAAGTCTTGAACTTTCCGAGAGGGACTGCCAGGCTTGTCTTCCGAGGCATGCCTGCGGATGTTTGAACCTCCGCCTCCAGGGATGGCATATGAGGGGGCTTTTACAGAGGTCGTGAAAAAAATGGAATGAAAAGACCAGGGGTTTTTTTCCCACGAACTTTTTGAAACCGCCTCATTCATTGGTGCATCACAAAAAGGTCGACATATGTTTAATATTGACATTTTGAATGCTTCCTATCGGCAGCATCCTCGCGGTAATGCTAAGGACACAGCCATAGCATTGCATTGTTCTTTGCCTTCTGCAGATGAGAGGGTTCACAGGGATAGGAGTGCAAGAGTGAGTGCCGTAGCTAGGGTGGCTTCATGGTCACGTGAAAGCTATAGCAAGAGGTTGGACTATTGTGTCGGGCAGTGAGGGGAGGGGCCCGGGGCGCACACCTGAAGCTGGGGAGGAATTCACAGTTGAGAGTGGAAAGCGGAGGGCAAAGGCTCGGCCAGAGGAAGAGACACGGTTGACTTGGATTTGGAACGTAAGATGACTAAGGAAACTGATGGAATGACTGCTGTGCGCACTTCAGTAGGGAGACAGTTTCTGAACTTGGGCTTGGTCTTATCCGTGTGGGAAAACCAATAAGGAAAAGAACGCATGCCGCACATAATTGCTCATCTAGTCTTTCACAGCGTTTCTCGGACTTGATTTGTAAACATTTTAGAAGGCAAAGTTCAATTTTATGACCATCGACTCCCCCTAAACTAAATTCTGCCAAACGCATTTAATTCTCATTTTATCACGTGGAGACCACTGTACGCTCCTCGTGCCCGAGAGTTGATCTGTTGGTTGCATTTCCCAATTGCTTGTCCCAGAAAGCACACCTGTACTGTGGGACTGTTGAACGCGAGGGGGAGCACAGGGCCTGGCCAATGAGAGGCAGCCTCTGGCCGTGATCGAAGAAGATGGAAATGAACGCTCCGGAGAAAACCTGCACCTCTGAGAACAAAGCAGAGGTTTGTCCAAAAGTCTGGTGGTCACCTGACAGCTGAGGTATCTCTTGGATGAGAGCATGCTTGCTCATGAAAACAGAGGTGCAGATCAGGGTGTATCATGGTGTTTACAGAGAGGGCAAAATGAACCTGCAAGGTGAGCACTGGTTGACTAGTTGGAGCCCCACTGACGTGTAGGGCCTGAGTGGTTGTCACTTGCTTACCAGAAACCCGTCGTGGTGAGAACAGAGTGGAACTCACCAGCATTTGCAATCTCTCTTGATGTCATGTGAATACGGTCTAGGTTTGATCAAGGTCATCTGCAGGTTTGAAGAAAACATTGTCCAGGAAACTCAGAACTTCTTTCGGCTACAACTGCTATTTGCATAGACCACAGCCAAAGAGACGTGACCCTATTTTCCACATATTTTCACCTTTGGAATAGACCCTCCTTGGAAATAAAGCGATGAAAACATTGAGAAAATAACCAACGGCGGCGGTCGAGGGGGCATTTCCGTTTGAAAACATTTCCTGAGGAAAAGTAAATGTTTTCCCTGAGAGCCTAACATTCTGGCTACTAAGACGTTTCCGTCAAAACATTTTATTGACACGTAAAATGTTTTCAAATACTTCCTGTACCAGCATGATCATCGCATACTAATCGAGGTGTACGGAGCGCTGTGTCCATCGTTAATCTTTGGTGTGTGTCGGCCTGTGTTTGTTTTGTGTCTCATGTGACATGTCTTTTTTGCAGATATTGATGAATGTGTAAACAACACTATTTGTGACAATCACGGGTTTTGTGACAATACGGCTGGCTCCTTCCGCTGCCTCTGTTATCAGGGCTTTCAAGCCCCACAGGATGGGCAAGGGTGTGTGGGTGAGTGTCTAGACTTCTTTCCCAAATGTTTCACCTTCTCCCTCTAGAGAAGAAATCGCAGTGATCAACGACAGGAGCAAGACACGTGGGCAGAATTTCACCACACTTGTGTTTCGTCATCCAGTTTTGGGGTGTGTAGAAATTACCCATGGTTTCTGAAATAGCGAGACACATTCAGAAATCCCAAAGTATAACTTTAAACGTAAGCCTATTTTCAAAGGAACATCTGTTTAAACTTTTAGCTGAGTGTGCGGGACCCCGCAGCCCCTCCTGCACAGGAAGTAGAGTCTGGTGTGTGGTAGAAGCTTGTCTGTCTTCAAAATGCACCTTCTCAGGCAGGGCATTGAAAGAAAAGTGTCGGCAAGCGTTTCGGTCTCCAGGAATGACATCCGTAAAACGATGCTTTGCACTGCGCAGCTCTGTTTCTCCCGTCTGTCCTGGGGGGGGAGGGGGGGGAAGCGGCTGGCGGGAATTCCGAGTCCTGTCAGATGTACTGGAATCTGCGGTCCAACGCATTCTCATATAGAAGCGGCTTTGAGCCTTTTCCACCGCAGGTTCTGATCAGCTGTGACTTCTCCAAATCAAATCCATGATGAAAAAACGTGTGCCATCGGAACCATTAAATGGGGAGGAGGAGGAGAAAGATTAGTACCTTATATACTCGAGTAGAAGCCGACCCAAATATCAGCCGAGGCACCCAATTTTACCGCAGGAACTGCATTAAACATGTGCTGAAAAACTCGGCGTATACACAAGTATATACAGTAATTAAAAAAATTCACAAAATAAGACCAAACCTTATTCTTCTCCGTTGGAAGAGAATAGCTGTTTTTCACTACCTGGCAGCTAGTACATGAGGAGTCAGTAACGTATTACTTTGCGGCGTTGCAAGGAACGGAGTCGTTCATGTTTCATTCTGCTTCACCTGGAAACAATCTATTCAGAGCTCTAATAACATTATCACTTGAATGGTAGTGACTATTAGGGGATGACATATTAAGTCTAATTCTCCACCCCAAATGAAAGCTCTGTACAAAGCTGCAATGTGGTTTTGAACCTAAGCCTCTGCTAGTCAGAAACACGTATGTTATTAAAACGGTGATCATCGATATCTGCTCCTGTAAGTTATCCTTGTTGTGAATTAACATCTCCCCGTGATAAGGGTCTGTCCCTCTTTGAAAGCATGCGGCTGCGCATTGAAAGGGAGCTGCTTTGCAGTGAAAAGAAGAACAAGGACGTGGTGTATATGGAAATGGTACAAATGGCTTAGGGGCAAGTCATGTCACCTCTCTGACCTTCAGCTCCCTGAGTGCTGAAAAAGTTAAGGGATGGATATTGAAGGGGATGCACTCGCTGGTTTAGAAGGCTTCCCCCAGCTCCGCAGTCCCCTGACACGTAATGGCCATGAGAATGGTGCGTTTCAGGCTTTAGTTGACATTGCTGATATTCAGTCGTTCACAAAATCTTGCCTTTTCCTTTATACAGATTTCTGAGGGACCCCCCTCAAAGAATTCAATAGAGAACACGTTTTCTTCTTAGTCATTTTGATTTTTGAGCAATCGAATCCCCCCCCCCTCCTACTAAATAACAACTGCATGCTAGAAAGACAAGATTCTGAAGTGGAAGGAGGATAGAATTCATTGCAGCTCAGCAGCTGCTACTGAGCATCTCCTCGGTGCCATCAGGGTACATCGGGCTCGGCTCGGCGCTGGGACAAGTACAAAGAAGAAAGAGGTGCCTGTGCCGAGCAGGAGACAGAAACGCATTGTGGTTTTGACCCCAAGTCCTATGGGCAGCTGCTAGGACGGTCTACCTCAGGGTGTTCAGAGAACACAGAAAGTGTTGGTCACGTGCCCTTTGTGGCAAATGAGTCCGTCACAAGAAGACCTTCTTAGCCTCAACTTCCATCCCCCCTTTGGTCGCCTTTCGATGCAACACAGGTGATAAGATTCGTCTGACATTGCTTCGTTATTTGATTACTAGAGGCCAAAGGCCAGACCTCTACTTACCGCCCCAGCCTCCTACGTCCGTCTGCATCTTTTCTATTCCAGTAACACGAGGCTGGTTTTGCTTGCTTGTATGACTGTGCATTTACTTGACTGGCACTTTCTCTTTCTGCTCCTTCTGGGAATATACGCCCTACCTCCCCTTCCCGGGGCCTAGATTCTCCCCTCTTGAAGATTGGGGTGAGGTATCCGTACCTTCCAGGTGCCACCCTGGTCCATCACTCGCTCAAGCTCAGCTGTGGCTCGCCTCTTCCTGCCGTAATACTTTAAGTCAACGTCAGTGATAGCACTCTGCTTTTGGAGAATCAAAACCCACTGACCCATCACAACAGTTTCGACCCGACGGACAGAGTAGAACTGCCCTGTCGGTTTCTCAGACCCTAACTCTTCAGGGGAGTGGACCCTCTCCTCTTGCTCTCACAGCCTTTGGAGAGGGATGATTTCATTATGTGCGTGCCACATGTAGGTCCTCTCCCAAGACCCTGTGCTTCCCACGACTGATCATTTTGTTTCTTTTCTGTTTTTCTCTTTTCTATTCTTAGCACAATGCTCATCCTATTATAGGCAGTTGATTTTTTTTAAATTGAGTATTAACTTTTGAAATATCAGGTGTTGGGCCATTGACACTACATAGATTTTGTGTCCTGGGTTAATGTTCTCTTCTGACCAGGCAGATGAAAACCCATGTTAATGTTTTGGTTTAGCACCCGTCTCGTGGGAGGAGTATTGGTTATCAGTACACTCAATTCCAGGCGTTAATAGGGTTTTTCCAACAGGCCACCTAAATGCACTTCACCAGGCCGGGTACTCGGTAGACTTTCAGAGATGAGCCTTTGGCCACCCAGCTCCTCCACCGGGACCCTACACGCCCATCAGCTCTTTCTGTCCCCTCGTTCCTTTTCATGATCTCCACTCATCCTTCAGACCTTGGCTCAAATGCTGCCTCCCTAACCCAGGACTGCACTTGAGTTCTACCACGATGCTTCCTGCATTTCACGCTGAGCCCCTCCCGCAGCTTGTAAAATGATCTAATTCACTTCCCTAACTTGACTGTAAGCTCAGTGAAGGCAGACCCTAAGCCTGCCTGAGCACTGTCTGCAGAGCCCCACTCATTCAAGAAAGCATCCCTTGCTTGAATGAGTGCAGTCTGGTGGGAGAGAGCTCGATAGCTATGTAAGTAATACAAGTCAGAAAGCAGACAGTTCTCTTTGACGTTTACCTAACATTAATCAATGTGAACTGGCAAATTTCTCAAGTCCATTCTTCTAGTCTACATGAGAACTGTCCAGATTGATTAAATACACCCCGTCTCTGCTTCATTTTATGGCTCGATGTCATTTTAATAAGCGAAACTCAGCCCATGGAGTTTATGTCTGTTTATACACAAAGTGAAATGGAAAACTGAGATCATTGTCTAAATAAGTCAAGATAGATACACTTTTTTTGTTCAATTAACTGGGTCTAGCAGGTGAAAATGAGATTTTTTTTCTTTCCTGCATGATTTGGATATGCTCGAAGGCTTAACTTTGTATGAACCGTCTCAGAGTGTGCTTATGAAAGCTGACATTTGTACATATTTAATACATAAAATGCATGAATATTTTAGATGTTAAGTCAGGAACTGAATGGCTGAACTGTACACTCATTAATAATGTTTCTTAGGAGGAGAAAGGGGAAAAGGTAGTATTCGACAAGGTTGAGTATAAAATCAACATTTCTGTAGGGTAGAGTTTTTGTATAATTTTGAATGAAACATACACACTCATTATTGAAAGTCTTGGACAGTATTTTCCTTATATTTAAGCATAGGAGAAAATAGTTTTGAATAAATGAGAAGTGTCAACAGAAGTTTTTAAGTATAATGAAATCCATCCTTATTGGACCAATTGGTTTCATGTGTATGGCTAATAGAGCATCATTAGTATTTATAGGGCTCTTTCCTTCACTGATTAAAGGTATACACAACCTGAATTCAGATTGTTAAAATTATGGACAGTCTGGCTTCTAAAGAACTGTGTTTTGAGACATTTAAGTAGATTTAAAAAGATGTTTTAAGTGAAGGATTCTGTGGTTTCGGAATTAATGGCGTTACTTATTTTCTCTGAACTCAAAACTGAGAGGAGAATATTGGGTCATTTAAGATTTCCTTAGGTCAAAAAGTCAGGGAAGACAAAACAGAAGGTCAAAGGGTACAAGAACAATGCCCGTGAAGCCATTCTGGGGTGTGCCTCAACACTGGAAGTAACTGACATCTTTCATAGTCTTTTCATACAAAGCAAATGATAGCAGGCTCTGCCGGTCAGAGCCCCTTCCCTGAAAGGACAGAAGGGGTTTGCTTGCTCAGTGGGGACCCCCTTGTCCCCAGCAGACATGGACAGCTGGCACAGTTAGTTAAATAAAGAGCTGCCAGGAACAAGGCACACATCTAAATGGACCCCTGCTCCGTTTTCCAGATGTGAACGAATGTGAACTGCTCAGTGGCGTGTGTGGCGAAGCCTTCTGTGAAAACGTGGAGGGGTCGTTTCTGTGCGTGTGTGCAGATGAAAACCAGGAGTACAGCCCCATGACTGGGCAGTGCCGCGCCCGGGTCTCCGAAGGTAAGTCACAACAGTGCAGTGTTGGGCGTGGACGTTGTGTTGGGCATGGGGGCTTGGACAGCCACCACCTTGAATTAAACACTCTAGGGGGAGATTAAAAATATATATACACATCTCCAAATGCTCTGGCACACTGTTATCAGATGCTCCCAGGCTATTTCCATGCCTGCTTTTCCCACTGGAATGCAGCTCGCTCTGGACCAGAGATGGCCTGAGGAGAGTGAAGGATCCAACGTTATGAGAACATTTGCTGGGGGTGGCTTTCCAGCTCAGGGTTGAATATGGCATCATTTCATTAAATGACATAGTCCGCCTTTCTCAGCCCTTAGAGAAAACGATCCTGACACTTCCCTAAATTAAAAGCAACACATAGGTCTCTCAGGATCTACAAAGACTCCTACTTGGAATTCTGAAGGTGTTTTTCCAGAATTTGGCCCCCAGAGGAACTGTGATTCCACTTGCTTGAAGCTTGATTTGGGCTGTGTCGTCATGGCATGGATTGAAAGGGAGAGCTGATCGTCTTCCAGATCAATTAATCAACTTCCAGATCACCCGTTCACTTGGTGCCAGGTAGCTAGAGCGAGGTTGTATTTTAAGGAAAGCAAAAGACCAAATGGCCCTTTCGGAGCCAAATAAAATGAAACATAGAACATTTTTCTTTCTTGTTCAATCTCAGTCGATTTCATTCGGGGCTGATGTAATAACTTTCAGGACTCCCCCAGAGGGTAGTTTAGTGTTGTGTACAAATGTAACGTAACTATCTTTGTGAGGAATAGCGAGTAACACGTAAACATAGTTCCATCCACACACATTTTTCTTCTCAATAATTAAATAGACATGTGTGCAGGGGTGGAGCTGCCAGCTTAAATGACCAGTCACTCTGAAGCGTGAGGGGGAGGATGGGGGAAGTGGGACTCACTGCTTAAAAGACACTGAGCTGCTCATAGGGGGATGGGAAACTGTGGAAAGAGATGATGGTGACCCGTGGACACCTTGATAAACATAATTTAGGTTACCCAAGTGCACACACGGAGAATGTGGAAAAAGCACACAGTTGTGATGTATATGGTAGGGGGAGTGGACTTCAGAATGGCTTTCTGCGGAAATTCCCTTTTTCCATGAACTCCTTGAAACAGCCCCCCCTTAGATGCACAATAATAGAATAAAATGCAGGAGTGGAGGTTAGGGTGAAATCCAAACCTGTCTTTAGGAGAGAACGAAGAAAGTATTCCTGTTTGTTCGTTGACAACCATTGCAACTCATCTGCCACCGAGATAAGACTCTTCATCTTATTTCTACCTCTGACAGCAGAGAACAAACAAAAACCTGAGTGGTCAACAATTGATAAGTCATTGTCTGCTACTGATTTTCCTTTGGCTCCGTGGAGTGGTGCTTTGTGAAGGACAGTGTTATTTTGAGTAAAATAATAACCCCATGTAGAACAATTCAGTCATTGAGTTGACTCAATGAACATAAGGTTTACCCAGTCTTCTGACTCACAGCAACCCTATCAAACACACTCCGGATCGTTCCAGGAGCAGCCGGCCTTGTTGTTGGAAGCCTAATGCTCCACCAGCTCACAGCTCCACCAGGGGTCCTGAAGATGAGGTAGCCATGATACATCCATGCAATACCATGCCGAGTGGAAAAAAACCCAGGAGGATATTCCAATGGTTTTGATTTTTGAAAGGACGGAGGAGGAGAAGGAGAGCAGAAGATAGAAAAAAAGACCATTGTTGTATGAGATGGAGATGTGAAATCTTTCCCGTATTACGTTTAAGTGGAAACCAGGGCTCGGCTGCTAACTACTTTCTTCCTGTGTAAACTTAGGAGTTTTGACTTTCTCACCTTTAAGGTGAGAAAGGTTTATGTTCACCTTATATTTGTACATTCAGCTTGTTCTAGAAACAACACTTCTTTTCACACTCACATGTATATATCATTGAGTTAGAGCTTGTCACTAGGACGATACGGAGCTCTGGTGGTGTCATGGTTACGCGTTGGGCTTTGAACTGCATGGTCAGCAGTGGGAAACCACCACCAGCTTCTCTGGAGAAAGACTGGGCTTTCTACTCCCATAAACAGCTACAGTCTCAGAAGCACACAGGGGTCGCTGTGAGTCAGCATCGACTCTGATGGTGAGAGTCGTATGATGACAGTGATTACAGGGGCAGAGGCACGTGAGAGGACACACATCACTCTGGGTGGCGTACTCCTTAACCTGTGAGGTGGGGTGGGGATTGCCAGGGGTGTTCCAGGTGCAGCGGCCAGGGGGATTCTCACATGGAGAGAACATCGATTAGTCCAGCAAGTGGGCCAGTTAAAAGAGCCTGCACCATATTCCAGGCAAACCATTTTCTGTTGCCCCAAATAAAATGTTCTGTACCAAATATACGAACAGTGTTTTTTCAACTAGGATTCAAATGAATTTCAGACTCTATTTCACATCCAGACCCTCTTAAATGTCTGGTGCTGTGAGATGCCACGGAGCGGATTTTGATTCATGACAACTCCGGGGTTTTCACGGTGGTGACATTGTGGAAGTGCGTTGCCAGTCTTCTCTCAAGGTGCCTCTGGGTGTTTGAAGCACCAGCTTTTGGGCTGGTAAAGCCCTTAATCCTCATTTGTGCCACCCAGATGCTTCGTAAATGTGTGTGTGTGTATATATATATAGTTATTGTATATAGTGTATATTGTATATAGTGTATATATACAATATATAGTTATTGTATATCGTTATACAATAACTATATACAGTATACATATAACTAATATATATCAGTTATACTATATAGTATATATAACGTATACATACTGTACATACTGTGCTATTATATGTGATGTATATAGTATAACTATATAACTGATGTATAAAGTATTATAATAGCTATAATATTTATACATGCGCATACATATATATTTATAACATAATATTCATTGCAATAATAATGAGTGATACCTTAACAACTCCGATCTCATCCTCACTGAAAGGCGATTTGCAGAGAAGCGGCAGCAACGTGGACTACAGCCTTTGTGCTCAGTTGTAAACCTCCCGGACAGGCCACTTCCCACCAGTGAGCAGCAGCAAACATCCTCTGTGGTCCCCTCCCAAGGTCAGACCTGGGCTAGGAGGCTGGAAGTGTCAGGAAGGCACATTGCAGAGGCTCTAGACAAACTGGCCAGCATCGGAGCTGCGCACAGTGGCACTGGCTTCCTGCACAGTTCGTGCGGTTTCCCCAGGCCACCAAGAAGAGGTGCCCCACCTAGTGGGAGAGGGCACACAATGGCTGCTAAGGTGCTGTGAAGCTCGACTATCTTCAAATGTTTATTTTTCTAACTCCAATTTTAGTTTTCACATGCATTTTTTTTTAAATTTAAGTCTGCTCGAATGTTTTTCACTGTCTGGGCCTTGGGCCACTAATTTGCATCGCTGTGTATTGCCTGAAAGCACCTGTAAGCGAAATAACTAAAAATGCCCAACACCAGACTACGTGTCTCCTTTAAGAGGGCATGGATGGGAAATCATCTGATGCTTTGATTTTCTCTGTGCCGGTGATAATTGCTCAGTGGAAACATTATGTGCTTGGGCACTCTAACAGAAGCAGTAAATATGTAGTCTTGGCAATGACGGCCTTCGAGCCAGACCCAGAAACGACTCTTCTCTGCAGTGACTGGTGCGCAGAGGAGCCTCTGTGGTGGGGGCAGAGTTTTCTGCTTCAAACAGAAGGTAGAATGCAGAGGGCACCCTGAAAAATAGACATTATAAAATGATACAGGTGGTACGCTCTTAAAAAAGGCAAATAAGCAAAATCAGAAACTAAAGAGTATGCAAATGTGCAGCATAGGATCGTTGAGCCCACACAAATCACCGTCGGATCCTGGTTTTGATATCAGATTTCTCTAGCACATTTGAGAGCCTATCCTCACATCATGAACTAGATCCTTGTATCTTCAAGCTGCTGTAGCACTTTCCTGGCCCGACGCCTTCATTCACAGGTAAGGAAATAGTGTCCCAGAGAAGAGCTCTCCATGTTACCCTGCTGCTTGTACCGCTAAGAGTGACAGAGAGGGTATCAGAACCCAACTCTGCCATCTGCCCACATCACTATTCCACCAGTTAGGACCGAACACCCACGGCCCCACAGGTTTCTAAGCTGAAAACCACCAACCACGTGGACCTGCAGGCTTCTTGAAGGAACACCCATACTCCTCCCTCCCTCCCTCTCCTGTTGATCCTCAGTGGGCGCTGAAATGTGGAGCACCTGTGAGCCTCTGATCGAAGCAGTTTTCTTCAGGGGCACCAGTCAGCGGCTCCACCCTAAAGCGGTGGTTCTCAACCTTCCTAAGGCGCGACCCTTTCATACAGTTCCTCATATTGTGGTGAAACCCCCCCCCCCCCCAACCATAACATTATTTTCCTTGCTACTTCATCACTGGAAAGTTGCTACTCTTCTGAACTGGGTGACCCCAGGTTGAGAACTACTGCCTAAAGCCTTTAATCTCGTCGCAGCTTCCAGCTTTAGAAACAATGAGCAGTGGCGCTTCAGGCCCCCCCCCACCGCTGCCTCCTCGTCTTCCTCCAACAGATGTCAGGACATGACTCTTCTTGCCTCCTCCGACCCTTTTGGCTGCTCCTTTCGTCTGATTCTTGAGCTCCCCCTCCGCGCCTGCTTCCCTACGTGCCTCCTGTGGCCGCACATTTAGTCCTGTCTTTACTCAATAGTCATCTGCTTCTATGTGTCAAACTACTACTCACGTAGTTCAACTGCCAGAGAAATACCGTTCCTCCCTATCTCTGCCCTGAGTGCCACGGTGGGCAATTTCTAGTTGCCTATTGGGTAACCCTTCCCATGTGTCTTGTAGACATAGCGAACTGAAATGATCCTGAAACTGAAAGCCAAGTTAAGTGCCATTCCTTCTTCCAGCCTGTACCCATCTGGTTACCTTTACCAGCTTTCAACTATCGATAAGCGACACCTTGAAAGGATACTTTTATCCTT